AAACCAAAAAAAAAAAAAAAAAGATAGGCTGGGCTCAGTGGCTCAGTCTGTAATCCCAGCACTTTGGGAGGCCGAGGTAAGTGGATTGCCTAAGCCTGCGGGTTCAAGACCAGCTTGGGCAACTTGGCAAGACCTCGTCTCTACAATAGATAAATAAAAACTTAGCTGGGCATGGTAGCACATGCCTGTGTAGTTTTGCCTACTTGGAAGGCTGAGGCGAAAGGATCGCCAGAGCCTAGCAGGTCAATACTGGCATGGCCGTGAGTGTGCCACTGCACTCCAGCCTGGGCGACAGAGTGAGACTCCAACTAAAAAAAAAAAAAAGAAAGAAAAAAGAAGATGGGGATTATTAAGCCTTCCAGACAGGCTTTTATGGTGATAGAATGTCAGGTATTTGTCCTGAGGCCATCAGTGCTGTTGGTGACAGAGTACCTTCCTGAACTCCCCTTCAGTTCTCCTTAGCTGCTGTCAAGTTATCCTCAGGTGAGTGGGAGGTTGCCCAGGACAGGGTTCTGATGTCTGGAGGTATAGATCCCAGGCTCAGCTCAACCTCTGACTTGCCCCAAGACCCTAGCCAAGTGCCTCCCCTGCTCTGGGCCTCAGCTTTTCCATCTGTGCCAAGAGGTGGTTAGTGCTGATACTCTGAGAGACCTCTAAGCCCCTGAGAACTGCGATGTCTGCAGTGGTGAGCCCTTGTACCCGCATCCTTCTGTGGGGCTGGGCTCTGCCCCTCGGGATCCAGGCACTGGTCTTGGGCAGCTTGGGCCAAATGAGATTGTCAGACCAGGGGTCTAGTGTGTAGGGTCCTTGGCAAATCCCTGTTCCTCTCTGGGCCTCTCTTGAGGGAAGATAGTTTCTGGCCCCTTTTGATTCTGTGGCCCGAAATGAGACAGACAGACTGAGCTGGGCACAGAAATACCACAGTGCCGGTACTCAGGGCCTGCCTCGTGGAGCTCTCGATCCGGGAAGGAGCACAGCCATCAAGCAGTCGCACGACTGAATGTCAGGTTGCACTTGGATGAGTTTGTGCTAGTGAGCAGAGGTGAGTGGGGCCGAGAACAGTCTTGGGGTGGTCTTGCTGGGACTTGAAGGGCAAGCAGCTTTTGGCTAGATGCAGTGTGAGAGCACTTCAGGCAAAGGAAACAGCAGAGATCCTGCAGTAGAGTGAGGTGGAGCAGGAGGGGGTATTGTGCCTCCCAGGGCAGTGACCAAGTGCGGGCCTCGGCGCTACAGGGAGTTGGAGCTTCAGCCTAGGGAGCATGGGAAGTCTTTGGAAGACTTTAAGCCAGGAACACGATCAGATTTGTGATTTGAAAAGCTCTTCTGAGCCAGGCTCGGTGGCTCAGCCTGTAATCCCGCTCTTTGGGAGGCTGGGGTGAGTGGATTGCCTGAGCCCGCAGGTTCGAGACCCGCCTGGGCAGCGAGACCTCATCTCTACAGTAAATCAAAAAATCAGCCAGGCATGGTAGCGCGTGCCTGTAATTCCAGCTACTCAGAAGGCTGAGGCGGAAGGATCGCCGAGCCCAGCAGGTCGAGGCTGCGGTGACAGAGTGAGACTCCAACTCAAAAAAAAAAAAAGCTCTTCTGGCTGCCAGGGAAAATGGGGTGGGACAGGCTTGAGAACAGGGAGCCCAGGGATGAGGCTTCACTGCTCCTTAGGAGATGACAGTGGCTTCGTCCAGGATTGTGATTGTGGGTGGATTGAAAGGGTAGATCTGAGAGGGTTCAGAGGTAGGTATGATAGGACTTGGTGGCTTGATGCAGGGAGGAGGGTCAGATGGTTCTGTGGCCTGGGCCCTGGAGGTTGGGAACATAGGTTCCCAGTGGGAGGAGTGGGCTCAACTGGGGAAGGCGAGAAGTTTGGTGTGGCCTGGCTGGGAGGGAAGTACTTGTGGGCGCTGAGCGGTGAGAGGGAGGGGTCGCGTGGGCGCAGTCTGGCATCCAGAGGCCAAAGATTGGGCTGGAGGCACAGCCGTGGGGGGGTGGGGGACTTGCAGGATCGAGGGTGGCAGGGCCACCCAGTGGCTGCTGATCCAGGAACAGGCTGGGTCCTTGGTGGGAGAGGCCAGGCAGGGCTTCCTGTCTCCAACACCGGCCTAGTCCCTCAGTGACCCCAGTTCAGGGAGAGGTGCCCTGAAGCTCCTCACACCCTCTCTCTCCCCCCAGATCCTGCTCATCTCCGACTACTTCTATGCCTTCCTGCGGCGGGAGTACTACCTCACACACGGTCTCCACTTGCCCACCAAGGACGGCACGGAGGCCATGCTTGTACTCAAGTAGGCCTGGCTGGCACAGGGCTGCACGGACCTCAGGGGGCGGAAGGGCCAGAAGCTGGGCCAAGCCCTCTCTCCAGAGTCGCCAGCAGGCAAGTCCTCAGGCAGAAGAGGCTTGAGTTCAGGGTGATGAATCTCTGACACCAAAGGGACCCGTGGCTGACAGCAAGGCCTACGGTGGGCTGGGAGCACCCACGTGGACCCTCACTTTGAGGCTCTGCACACCCAGGAGCCCCTCCCAGGCGGGAAGGGGCAGCAGGACGTGGGCAGGGCTTGTTAGGTTGTGGCTACTCAATAAACATTGTTTGTTGTAAAGAAGCCTCCCTGGGCCACATCCACACTGCACCCCCGTTGAGGTCTGCCCCGAGTACTGCTCCAGCACACGCAGGTGTGGGTTTCCCAGGGCTCCCTAAGGGCACAGAAGCCACAGCTGCTCGCTGGCAAGCTGAAGACGGTGTGGGCCAGCCCCACCAGCAGTCCTCCCCACTCCCTCGCCAGCAGCTGGAGGCAAAGAGCCAGGCAGGCCTGAGCAATCTTTATTCTGCAGAAGAATGACCACAGATCCATACACCATGTAGAGACTGGGGGAAGCCAGAGGCCAGTCTTTCAGGGGTGGGCAGGTCCAGGCAGGGGCAGGTGGATGGGGGCAGATGGGCAGACAGGCAGAGGCCTAGGAAAAAGAAAAACCACACGGGGCTGCTCCCCACCCCCACCCCAGCCAGCACCCGAAAGGGCAACCCTAGCATGACTGGCCCGGGGTCCGCCCCAGAACGCCGCCGCGGCGTGGGCGCCCCGGCCTCATCCCCGCCCAGCCCAGCCGAGGCAGCGGCGGCTCGGTTCCGGAACCGGATCTCCCCGGGCAGGCCTGAGCCGGGCCCCAGCTCCCAGACCAACCCCCGCTCCTGCTGGCTCAGAAGCCGAAGGTTTCCTGGGAGGCGTAGACCATGTAAAGGAAGCCGTCTTCGTCCTTCTCCTGCTCGTAGATGTCGGC